CTGATGACGTTTGTGAAGAATCATCTCGGACGCACCCACCAGTCCTCCTTGGCACACTCGTGTAATGCGCTTTAGACCTCGGAAACCCGGACCCAAACCTTCGTGGATCTTGGACGGCATGAACACGTCCACCTTGCCGTATCCGATGAAATAGACTCCGTTTATGAGTCCACCGGCACGGTACAGCGTGTCGCCTTCTTGCTTCAGCCAGTGAGTCACGTACATTTCGTCAAGTTCTCGCGTGAGAACTGAGTCACTATCTTCACTACTTCGTGCGTATGAGTGGTGGTGTGCTCACTTCTCAGTGGTTTCGGTACTGTCATCGGCCCCGTCGTGGCCGATGAGGTTTAAGGACGTAGTTGCTCGAGCTCCAAATGCTGCAACATTCGACCCGATGGTGTCTGGTCATGGCGATCTACCCATACACGACGCAGCGAAGACGTGGGAAGACTACCAGTCAAGCCGGGCCGAAGCAGTGAACAGCATCGTCTTCCAAGACTACGGGAAATACCGACTGGAAATGGACGCGTACGACTACTATACCAGCGCTACATGAGCTGGTTGCCCTTGTCATCCTGAACAAGTATCGGCCCCGTGCTACAACTCAATGTCCAGCTAGTTTCGGCAACTCTACTTCGGGTACTATAACTACTGAGTTAACACTGGACAATCTGGCTAAGGCCAACGATCTGGTTCAGCAGCACTTTGACTTTGGAGAGCAAGCTGAAAACGATGACTGCAGCGGCAACAACCGCTGCGATTTACACCAGTTTAGCAAGAAGAACTTCTTCGAAACCAAGTACTCGCGATACTCGCACGACGAGAGTATCTCGTGCTTCGACAAGGATTTGGTACTCGAACATATCCTCAACTACGATAAGTTAAGTGTAAACCCATTGAAACAGTCGAACGGAACGTGCTACGATGAGGTATCTCCAGTACCGGCTGGTCAGTGTACGCGGTGCTGTAAAATGTCCACAGCTTTGAGGGAGTTCTGGATGGACTATCGCTGTGGCTCGGACTACGACGTTCGCTACTGCGAGGGTGACAGTGATCAGTCGTGTACATTCGAGCAGTGCGTTGTGGTAAACGGTGATACATTGGCTACTATCACCGCTCGTATCAAACCTGGCGTAGTGACCGAGTCCAAGCAAGTGTTACATCATTTACATCAAGAAGACTACCAGACAGTTACCCAAGTGCACCGTGCACTTAAGTGTACGTCGTACTATGGTGACGATGGTCAATGCGTGTACATGGCAAAGCTGTCTGAGCTCATTGAGACGACCCAGACGGTGAATTTCGATGAAGAATTTAACGTTAACGATATCGTTTATTGGCAACTTTGGGAAACCAGACGCAAAACCAGCGCAGAAACCGGATGCAAGTGGTCAACGTGTGACGCTGTTTACGACGATGGCGACGTGTTGACATTCTCGGATCCGGAGACGAAGCTCTCCATTGAAGAGTGGACGCAATGTGGCCTTGTGCACTGGTTTTTCTTCTTTTTTACATTTACACGTTATCAGCGCCGTGGACATCTGCAAACACTTTGGTGAGATGTGGTACCAGACGACCGTCTCGCGACTTCCGATTGCGGCGCAAATGTGTGTGCGTACCCGGGCAGTGACTTCGCCGAGTTGACTTTTGATTTCCATTCGAACGTTGGACTCCAATACTTACGCACTGAGTTGAGGATGAACGTGTCTGAAGTAGTTTGCACTGGAGCATTGGAGAACCGCACTTCGGTCAAGATTTTCAAGGTGACAAAAGACTTTCCTGAGATCGTCACTGGGTTTGGCGTGGAGATGTTGCATATCCCAAATACCGAGGCCATTACGAACGTTGAGGTATCGTGTGACTTCACGCACGTGGGCTACGGTAATGCCGTACACAAGAAAACGTGTGGTCGATCCTTCTCCATATCGGACTGTAAAGGACCCCAGTTCGACGTACTGAACACCAAATGCGGGTACGACGCATGCGCCGGCATAGAAAATCTGGACTGTATGAAGCATGCAGTGGGAACATCGTACGAAGCACGAAAACGACTACCTGCAGCAGTTTTATTCTTCTTATCCATTTGCGACTGCTTCGCACTACGTAAAGGGAAGGCAACCTTCTATTCTATGGCAATGTTTACAGACCGGTGCGGAAACTCATTTTTTCGCCGTGAAATTCCGGCCTGACGATCGCCATCACATCAACCGTTAAATTGTGATTCAGCGGTCAACTGTACCACCAAAACGAGCGAGACAATTGAGCAACAGCAACCACCAAAGTCCCTGGCGCCATTCCTACAGAACTCAACAAATACACGCGATGTTGAAGTATTCGCCACTCTCTCGAGGCTACGTCCCTCCGCACAATAACCTCTTTGCAGTCTATAACGTCTCATTACTCAACTTGCACCGGACGAGCCAAGTCTCCGTAAAGTCCACCCCTACTTACTCATCGTCCATCCATGCCCCGCGCTTCCAGCACTCGCACGACGCCCCGCAAGGATGTTGACCAGCGGTTCATCTTCCTGGACCTCGACTCGCTGCTCTGCGCCGTGCGCAACCACGTCCTAACCCATGAGAACCAGTTCCACAAGGAGCTCGCCAGCTTCTCCAGTGACGTGGCACTATGCCCCAATAACCTCACTGTCCTCTTAAACGACCAGCATCCAAGTCGTATCCAATGCTGGAGAGGAACTTACTGCAATCCCAACGCAGCTGAAGCCAAAGCCCTCGAAGCAGTGCGTAGTGACGGCAGAGCCAAGATAAACTGGAAACTCACACAGAATGGAACGCCACAGCATCCGACACTCGAAAAGATGCTCAAACGCCACTTAACGACCACAACCGGCGCTAAAAAGACGCTAGTTCTAGCAACAGGAGCCCTTACTAAAGGCCTAAAGAGCTGCGTCGACGCCTACTTAAAGGCGCAATGGCACGTGCAACTCGTGACACTCGACTCGTGCTACAAGAAAAGCGACTGGCAATTCACCCAGCTCGACGGATTTCACGTAAAAAAATGTGGATAAATACCTCAAAAAGCTGCTAACAGCCAAGCATTGTGAGACTCCAAGCTTTGAACGCAAAGTGAGCCCGCCTACACTGCGTCCTGAGCACAATAACAGTTGTATCAGTCCAGTTAAGCCTGTCACGCCACCGCTACCACCGGATTATTACGACGATAAAAGAGCAGGGATGTTGGAACAGGAATTGGGCGATATTGAGCGCCGCAAAGCGAGGTTAACCGAACTTCCGACTGGAAA